AGCCTGTGCTTGCTACTCATGTTCAGCTATCTGATTTCCATATCACCCACTCGCAGTCACTGGCAGGCATTAACATAACAGAACTGTAGCGTGACTTTGATTGAAGCCAGCTTGGGCTGAATGCAGTATCAAAGCATAATTTAGCAGAAATCAAATCTAATTTACTGTGCATTGTATATAAATTCTCAAAACACAGTTTCAAGTGAACTGTCCCAGACCTCTAATCTTAATTGACCTTTTTATATTTGGGTCTACTTCTCTGGAAATCACACAACATACTTTTCTTACAGAGCTATTGTTTTGTAACTTGCAAGTGTTGATTAAACACTAAATTGTGCCATTCTGTTGGCTTCATCTCATTTCTAGTTATAGCTGAAGCAATAAGGTATAATCACTTGACAGATTAAGCAAGTAGGATATTACATCGTAGTTACAAAAGATTTTTCCAATGCTTTCAGGTTTTAGACACAATATAAATACATATTTTATAGTCTTCTCTCTTAGAGACATATAGGAGAATTGCCATTTTTATAACAGGCATATTCTTCTGGAGTTTATAACTCAATCTCTTTAATTCACATTGGGTTTAAACGTGTGTTTGGAATTGTCGTCTTGAGGACCTAGTAGTGTTTTTTTTTTCTTTTTTTATACTTAATGGGAGTCATTATAGAAAATCTATTTTATGTATAGCACACTTAGTGCTATTGTGCTGTGTTGATAAAATGCCACCTCTGTCTACTCCCTCCCATTGGTGCCATCAGCCAAATACTGTCTTTTCAGACCATTCTCACTGCCACCTGGCAGAGACGCTGAAACTGTGCAGGGTTATTAGAAGAATTGTTGATGCGGTTTTTCATTTAAAACCTCAAAAATAAATTCCTTCGGCTGATATCCCTTCACAGAAGATTGCAATATAGATCTTGGGCAGCAGAGAGTCTACAAAAGTAAAAGTAATTGATGCCATTTGTTTCTTTGGTCCACCTTCAGGTGATAATAGGAAAGGATGTGTATTTTCACAGACTTGAATATTCTTCAAAGTTTTTGCTTTGATAAATGTTTCCATATTTTCCATTTTTTTAAATTAAAAAATGATTAGATGATTTTAGTTCCAGCAAGATCAATGTGGCATAAGTTCTGGTGACAATAGTCTATTGGATGCATTTGAAATACAACACATTACAACTTGGAGTAAATGTACAATATAAATAAACATCACATGAAAATATATTTTGTAGGATAAATAACAGATGCTGACAGTTTTTTGTTAGTGGTCTTTAAAATAATCCAGTATTGGGTAAAAGTTCCAGAAATTATAATTTCCTGGCCTTTTTAGATTATACTATCAGTGGCAAATATTATGTCATGATTTTGCAGAATTTCTTTGTCCTTTAAAAGCCCTGATGAAATGGTATCTTCGGGTGCTACTATAAATAAAAATTCTCAACTGGATTTTCTGCCCCAACTTGTGAAGATTTCCCAGCTCTTTGTCTTTGCTCTTTCTCTAATCCTCATCTACATTGCTTCTAAAGCACCCTTTCCAAAATATAAATCGGATTGTATCTTTCTTACAAAAATGTCTTTGAACAGATCTTTATGGTTTTCATGACGAAATGTCACACCCGTTTAGCAGGAATCATCTGGTCCTATCTATATCACCTCTGTGACCTAGATTTCTTTTATTCTCAGAATCCTTTACAAGCTCCTAAAAATCCAGTTCAATGGGTCTCTGCCTTATATGCTGCTTCTCTTTGTCCCAAGTGACCTTACCACTCTTCACCTAGTCAACTCTTACTTGTCCTCCAAAGTACAGCTCTAATGTGGCCATGCCCTAGCACTTTTTCTCTTTTTTTTTTTTCTCACAACATGGCCTGATTGGTTCTGTTCCACTCTTTCTCCCCTGGTGCCCTCTGCATTTTTTTCTGTTTTCACTGAAAAAATTACATTTTGCCGTTTTTGTGTATTTGTTTATGTATTTACTTGTAAGTCTCTGCCACAGGGCAAGAACAATTTTATTTGACTTCCCATCTCCTGTACCAACCAGAATGTATCATCATTTTTAGTCAATCAATACATTTTGTGTGACTAAATGGATGAATTATGTCTTTTCAGAAAAGTGGATGCATAGATGTGGTCATTTGTCAGTCCTTATTTTGAGGACTATATTTTAGCAGCTGTGTTAAAATTGTAGTATCTAGATGCCAAAAGAATTTTGCAAAATCACTCATCCACAAAAAAATTTTTCAAAAGTTTGAAAATTAAATTCATGGAAGTCTGTACTTCTAAAAGACACCTGGTAATTTTACTGATAGAGATTGGTAATTTCACTGGATAGATGAAGAATAATATACTTGAAACTATAAAACACATAAATATATGTTTATATTTCATTGATTTCATTTGATGATTTCAATCATGTTTCTTCTCAGTTAATAAATTTTAAAAATTTGTAAAGAAGGACTGTATAGAGTATCCAAGACTCTAAGGTTTTACTAACAACTTTTGTGAGATAATTTAAATTCTTTCTGGCCCAAAGCAGTACAAATTAACTAAAAAGCTAAATAGGTGATTTTTACTCAAGTCTTTTAAATGACTGATTTTGACTCAACTGAGTTTTGAATTTTTAATAATTTTAGATACATGCTAAATTATTCAGTACTTCTCACTTAGCAAATGTCTATGTTGACTCTTATTTTTCTTTATAGAATTACAAAGAGATAACTATATACTCAACTTTTTCATAACAAATATAATTTTTCTACAATATTGCAGATGACAGAAACAAACCTTAAATGTCTTTTTGGTACAAATACCTGGTGGTTTCACATTTCTACTGAAAAAAATGGTCACTGCAGTGTTTTAAGAGTTTTCTGTAAGGTAATTTTGTAACATTGATTTAAACTATCATTTCTATTAGAAAACATGGAAAAAAATCAATGTATCTGCTGATTCAGGAGAATTGTGTAGAAATAACAAGAAGATTGTAAGAAGCAACTAATCTCCTGAAAATACAAGGCAACACATACCATGCTCTGTCCAAACAGATTCATAAATCTGGGTTTTCCATACTGCTAGAATGAGTCTTCTGTTATCTATAGTTATAGAAGAAAATTTCTCTTAGTAGATTTATCCCATCTGTCCCTGGGGTATGTGTTAGATGTGTTGAACTAGGAGGCAGTATAATAGAACACCAAAAAATAAGTCAATACAAATCCCAGTGAATTGTTTGGAAAAATGCTGCTGCTTTTTCCACGCTAGCGTTCTTGTAAGGCTGAGGAATTGGCTGCACGTTTGGGGCTGCTCTACATTCACCCTCTTCTTGGATCTGCACTTCTTTTCTCCTGAAGCACTGAAATGATTTCAAGTGACAGGTTTTACCAGACATCACTTATGGTTAGAGGGTTTTAAAGTACCACTAGGTTCTAAAAATTAGAGTTGATTTTAAAGTGTTTTCTGTCTCCATTTTCTAGCCTAAGCAGCTAGTTTAAGTGGAAATAGATTATTACAAAAGTCATGGAATAAGCACGGTGTTTTCTGTTCAACAAAAATGGGTTTTGGTAGGGAGATGCCCTTGTGAAAACTTCCAGTTATACTGTCTTCCCCTTTATTCTCTCAAGATCATTAGACCACCATTTAAATCTGAACTTTCTTAGGATTTTTACCCCCATCCCTTTCTTTTATTTTCTGTTGGAGTTACTTATGTCTTGGTCTCATTAGCTTCACCTGTACCATTTTAATAGCCTCCCAGTTAGACTCCTTGTTTTACGGACTAAGTGCCTTCCTCTCCAATCCATGCTACATTCATTAGAGGGTTAAAGCCGCCAAAAATTATCTTTTGCATCTGTCACTTTTCAGCTTAGAAAAAATCAGAATAAAATCCTCAGTTTGACTTCTTAAACCCTCCTTTGTAGCCAAAAGTGTTTACATAACTTGGACCCTCCATCCTGCCAAATTACACACTGTATCCTACGTTTGTTCTTGCTTCTTGTACTTTGCTCCATAATCTCCTTGTTTGGCATGTGTTCATTTTTCCGTCTACCTCAAAGCTACCATAATGCCCATTTTCTACACAGAGCCTTCTGTAGGTTTTACAACACCAAGGGATTTCTTTCTCCTAAGTTTTATTATATTTATTATATATACAATAACTTAAATTCTCCTCCACTGTGCTCTGAGATCACCTCTATCATTGCACTTCCCACAGTCTTAGATAAGTGTTGATTTAATTTTGTTTTGGTTTTCATCATTGTCATTGTGTTTTTCCTTTCCATTAGACTATAAGCTCCTTGATGGCTTCAGGATAAAAGCTTCTCATCTCTGTATCTTGAGTGCCCAGTAGGGGAACATAGTAATTACTGGACTAATCTTTATCTATCTATATGAAATAAATTAGATTGAGTCAACCATTCAGTACATTTATTTATATTGCTTATTACCCTTGTATGTAATTCCCATCTCTTCAATTCTTCAATGTCTTTAATCTTTCAACTCTTGAATTCTAGATATAAGCACTTTAAGAATAGGGGTCATATTTTATACCTTCTGGTATCCCTGTGCCTTATATAATTCTTGCAGTTACTATAAAAACAGCCAATGCTTGTCAATAAATTGACTTTAGAGGAAGGAGATGGTTGAGTAAGAGAGTGATTCTTTTTTTATCTTTATTTATTTAAAAAACAGAACCAGCTTGAGGATCCATGTTTTTCCTTAAATGTGTTAAAATCATTAAAAAAATCTAACTTTCTATGCAAGGATATATAGGCCAGAGGATTACAATGTACGACATTTAAAAATACGTCTGCTAAAACTTTTGCTTCTTTCCTCACATTTGATTGAATATAATGTCTTTCTTTTTTGTGTTTTGAGAAATGTGTAAAAGTAAATAATAGACTGTAGTCGCTCCCTGGCACTGAACAAGCAACATAGTACCGTATTTTCTCCCTGATGTATTTTTCTTTGTCGGTGGTTGATATTTACACACTTTCTTTTCTTTTCAATTATAGCTCCCCCACAGTTTGTGGTTCGGCCAAGAGATCAGATTGTGGCTCAAGGCCGGACGGTGACATTTCCCTGTGAAACGAAAGGAAACCCACAGCCAGCTGTTTTCTGGCAGAAAGAAGGCAGCCAGGTGAGCGTGAGGCTTCGCTGTGCTTCTGACATCTCGGAACTTCTGCTGTCTCTGCTGCTCCTGAAACCTGCCTTGCTTCTCTTGTTCTCAATGTTTGAATTTATTTTATTTCTGAAAAAGAGAGTGGTGAATGTGAAAATAAGTGGGAGTCAGATGTTCTAGTAATAGCATTCTTTATTTTCTAGTATTAATCTTTTCAAAATTCTGTCTCTTACACAGAATAGCAATAAAGCAATATAACAAAATTATCGTTAAAAGTCAAACCAAAACCTCTGTAGCGATTTAAAATCTGTTAAGGTGAAGCTAATTTTGTTTTCTTGTATTGAGTTACGTGGTATGATAGAGTCTCTGTGACATGGAAAACAGTCAGAAATATTTTTTTTAATTGACCCAGAATTTAATTTCAATCCTCTCTCTTAAATACACAGCATAAATGACTTTTCTTATCCTTAATTAAAGCATGCTTCCATTTAAGATTAGGATAAATCTTTTCCTTCTCCGTTCCTCCTGGACTCATCCGTAGTGTGGTTAGACAGGAAATAATACGTAGTACACTAGAAGGAACCCATACCTTGTCTTTGTTGTGCCCTGGTTTGTCCTCTCCAGGGCCCTCTCTGGGCAACATGGCCTCTCAGAGTCTCTATGAAAAGGCAACTGGATACACTAGTTTTCTCATGTAGAACTTGGTCCAAACTTGGACAACTGCTTAGCTTCTAGGTTCGTAGGCAATGAGTAAAATTTCCAGCTAAAACTAGATCAAAAATTGTGTTGTTTGCAAAATAATGTGTCCATGCATTCCCATGGGACCTTGAGATATTTTCTTTCTAAACTTTCTAGAAACATGCACTACTAGGCGTATTCTGAGGAAGAGACCTCCTGGTGGTCTTCCTCACCACATTCTGTTATTACTACACGTTCCAGAAGAATTTCCTTGGGAATAATGGAAATCATTATTAAACATCTCTGGAAATCTGAAACCTTGGCCAGAGATGGGAAATACAAGTTGCATTAGAGGACTCTGTTGATTAAACTTACATACATTTATCTGCAACATACATGTGTGCAAGGAAGCCTTTAGAAATTCTGTTCAGCCGTTATCTCTAACTGTTGTGGGTTTCTATAAATTCCTGTGCCAGCTCATACTGGGCAGTTCTAACAGCTCAGTCTGGATGGATGAATGGCATTTTATTCCTCACTCAGCTCTCCTTGTTGGAGTCACTCCTCTTGTGACTTGTGGAATATAAGTGTAGTGATGGGAATGTAAGGAAAGGTGATGGCCATTGCCGTATCCAACATCAGAACTGTTCCACGTCTTAACTCTCAAATCTTCTTTATAATTTAGTAATTATAAAATAGGTTTCCACACATAGAGTTCTTTGACTGTTTGCTTTAAAATTCTTTTCAGATGTTAGTGTCTCAGACTCTAAAGTAAGTGTCAGGCAGCATGACAATTAAACATATAAACACACACACATAGACACACACACATATACACACACACCACACACATACACACATACACATACACACACACACACATATACACACATCACACACATACACATAGACACACACCACACACATACACATACATACACACACACACACACAAAGGAGAAAATTCAAAATCCAGTTTGCTCCTTATAAATTGTACAACTTTTGTAGTGCTATTTAAATGTACTGAAACTCATTTTCTTAATGTAAAATACAAGGCTAATACATTTTACTTCACACAAAGTTTAAATGAATAAGTCGTTTTATATATAAAATTGCTTTACACATTATGAAGGTTAAGCAAAATGTTATGTCACTGATAATAAATATAATGATGTAAAGCAATTTGATCATTGCATACTTACACTTTAAACCCATGTATTGAGTGAAATCTCATTATAATGTGTCTTGTTATTATATAGCTAAGACTATATCATGTGTAAATCACATTCCCTAAAGTAGCTCCAAGTTGAATTACAAGGTAGTGCATAAAATGTGTATTGGCCTTGTAGCTTAATAAGCATAGGGTATTTAAATATGCTACATCTTTTTTAATGGTTTCAAAATAAATAACAATTAAATAGCATTTAAGTATTCCTTTTTCTGTATTTGACAAAGTGGCATATAATTCCGGAGATATCAATGTTAAAGATTACACAAAATCTTATGTCTTGTTTTCTTTCCCTCACCTATCTTTCTCCCATCAGAGAGACAGAGGTAGAGATAGAGAGGGATGGGGTGGGAGAGCGAGAAGGAGAGAGAAAAAAAAAATACTGTGAATGAGAACAACAGAGAAGTGCTTCAGCAAATTATAAATTCTCAAATCATGAATTGGGATATTGGGAAAAAATAAATCGGTCTTACTGTTTTCAGTATCCAGTTTTTATAGTGATCTATGACCATCCATCAATAGAAACAGTTAAAAGCCTGAACTTAATGGTCCATATTTCTCAATATATGCTGATAATGCCAATTAGCTCTAATAGGATACCCAGGCAATCTCCAAGGTGGGAAGAGCTGTGAAGTTCCCGGTTTTTGCTTGTAATCCATTTTCTTTTGCCTATGTCATGCAAGCAGAGAATAAAAATGATGGGTTAACCTTCATATAATGCCATTTTCCATGTCAACGAATCATTTAGAAGGTGGACTGATGGTACATTGTAGAGGAAGAGATCCCGTAGAGAATAAAGCCCATCTGATATATTAGTGCTATGTAAATTAGTATTCTAATGGCTAATTGTAGGGAAGTGTGCACTTTGAGTTATTGTATCACTTTCAAGTGACTTCAGAATTTAGACTCTCTTTTAGCTTGTTTATTTTGGTAATACACTTGGAATCTACAGTAGAATCAGCTGGTTCTCAAATCGTGTTTCTATGCATGAAAATGTCTAGCCTTATACAGTAGCACACATTTTATAAGAGGTCAACAGCATATTGAAATTACATTCTTGACATGCTAGCAAACATCACTCCTTTTAGAAGGAGTTTAATAACATGGTAATGTTTATGTAAAGTGGGCTTATAGTGTCACACTTGAATCTAATAAAGTGGACATCCATCATGTTGCAATAAAGAGAAGAGCTTCTAATTAAAATAGGACATCGTTTGCAGGATTGAAGTCATTTAGCATAATTGAAAAGTGTTAATACCCTATTTTATCCTCTTCCATTGGTATTACTTCAAGGGTAAAAACATTTTAAGGTGAAAATGTGTCCTGTGCCTTTAATTGAATGTTATTACCTCCTGATTGCAACGTATTGAAACTGTTTAATTACAAACCTGGAAAATTAATTACTATATGGAGAAACAGATCCCAGAGGGTTATAATGTCCTTTTTTGTAAGTAAATACAACATAAAAATTGATATCTTCTTATTTATAATCCAACTTGGAAACAAGCCCCAATGTAATTTATTATACTCAAATGTTTTTCTTAATTGAACAACAGTAAAGCAACATAGTTCATCCAAATTAATGTTACTCTTCTCATAGATGAACTTTTACAATTTGTAATGAGGCTATATGTATATATGAGATATAGAATAATTTTGTTTTAAAAAGAAAGTAATATGAAATTGTTTAAGGTAACACACTTTTAGAAACATTCTACATTTTCTTTTTATCTTCAGTAATTTGCTTAATCTTGCTTAAACTGTAGTATTTGTTTATAGCCCCATTCAAAGGTGCAAAAACTTTATAGCAGAAGTACAGTCAGCTCTCTGTCATGCACTTTTGAACAACTGTGGGAGAAATTCAGTAGAGTGCATCAAGGATTCAGAATGATCGACAGCAGTCATACTTTGCATTCTTCAGAGCTGTGCACTTCGTACCACCCATCCCCAGTCCCTGTTATCGGCCAGATCTTCAGGAGGCCTTAGCAGTTGAGTCAGATAAGAATTGTTTTGCCCATTTTCCAGATAAAGAAACAAGTTTCAAAGATACTAACTAACTAGCAGAATATCAGGATGAGATAAAGATCCCATTCTTTAAAAACACAGATGACTTTTCTTTCAACGAGAAAATATTGACTTCTTAGAGGATGTTATTTCACCATGATTCGGAAAAACTTGATCAGTGAAACCCACTGTGTGGCATTTAAACATTTCTGTACCATACATTTTTTAATCTATGTGTTTTCTTTTTCCCACTTTATTCCCTAATTGTCGTAGCTTTTATTCACATAATTTTTTAAGTGGAAAATGAATATTGATGAGACTGTGCTTGCTTCCACAGAACCTACTTTTCCCAAACCAACCCCAGCAGCCCAACAGTAGATGCTCAGTGTCACCAACCGGAGACCTCACAATCACCAACATTCAACGTTCCGACGCGGGTTACTACATCTGCCAGGCTTTAACTGTGGCAGGAAGCATTTTAGCAAAAGCTCAGCTGGAGGTTACTGATGGTGCGATATCTTTATTAGATTTGTCTTACGAAAACACGGATTTTTATTTCTGGACACACGTTAATCATGTGGAGTTTGCTGATTTGTGAAATCATTACTATGTGTGCTTATCTTTTAAGTTTGAATCCAGGTCACATTTTTTAGTAGTTTCTAATTCTCCCTGATTGAATACCGCTCATTTTCCCCAAAGAAGAACTTCAGAGATAATTTACTTAATTCTTAAAAATAGAATAGTGCATTATTTTAAATAAATCTTATCATACTCACTGCATATTGAAATGTAATCTGTATATTTTTGTTGAGTCTTAGGCTGACATGATTGGTTCTACTAGACATTAATGATTTTATTTCACTCTAGGAGGAGGTGATACCACGTTTAATATTATCAGAGATGAGTTTTTAGTTAGCTAATCATATTAGGACATGCCTGTGATTTTAATTATGCATTCAGCAAGTTAACTACCTACCTTTCAAAGTGCTGAAGAATGCTAAAATTATTATTTTTATTTGCACATATGCACTTTGAATCTTAACTGAGGCACCTACATTCATAGTGAAAGTTGAAAAGGATGAAGGGCTCTGCATAATCTGATTTTTTCCCAGCAGCTTCTTTGGCACAATTGACAGCTAGCAAATTTGAGATATTTCATGGACCTCTGAGTGTGAATTTAATCCCTATTCTTTGATGTCCTAAATTGAAAATTCTTTCTTACTCTCCTTTATTTGTGAGGATTTTTAGTTTTGTTTCTCCCCAATGCTGGCTTCTGAGATGTAAGTGCTTTGGTCTGCGGCCTCTCTTGATCCTCTTCTTTCTCTACTGGTGAAATTTGATGTGCTTTTATACAATTTAAATTTACATGTAGATTAAAAGGTCATTTAAAATTAATAGAAAGGCAGTATTTTTTAATATCTGTTCATGGTATGGCCTGATTCAGTGACATGTCAGGAATGGGAATAAATAGAACAGACAAACATTGGCTGCAGGGACATTGAGTCGTTAGTGGCTGCACCTGCTGATGCTGCAGAGATTTACTGCCATGGAACTGAAAGGAGAAGTCAGGTTCAAGGATAGCAGTGATGAGAAATTCTTCCTTAGATGGGCAAGCTCTTTGATTCTTTGTACCTCCATATTTCTTTAAAAGAATAAAGGATAATTATTAATGATTTTAAAAATCTTATGTTTTCACCTGTCAACAAAAATGTTCAGATACATACACTTGAAAAATAAGATATTCTGACCAAAGCCTACGTTTTATTCTATATTCCTAAGAACACTGCAAACATAATGCTTAAGATACCAGCTATCATTTAGCTACTTATAATATTTTATAGAAGATTGACTGTCAAATGTTTCTAAATGAAGAAATTATTATGGAAAAGGCAAACCATATTTGTAGGAAGCAAAAGTGATGAACTAGAAGAGCCAGTTGATGTGACTGATATGGTTCATAAAACAGTGAATATTCAGAATTACGTCTGATACAATAAATGGAGAACCTTTGAGACCTTATACTAGCTCATGATATCTTACAAAACAGTAGTTTTTCTAGCCTTCCTTCTGTGGTCAAAAATAAGTGATGACCAATTTTAAATCTTCTGCCAACTGAGATTGCTCTAAACATTTTGTTACAACTGGCTTGAATATTAATTCCTATATTGATTTTTACTTGAGTAAGCAATTACAAAGTCAAGATCCTTTTGCAGCAACATTGATTGCAAGTTACAATGCTGTTGATTTTGACAGTAAAGAAATGAAACTATAAGAACTAAATATGTACACACATGTTGTCAATGAATCTGTCTCTAAATATGAAGTTGCCACATTGATGCCTTAAGCTTCTAGTCGTAGTTTTGATTTTTCATATAGGTTAATGATTTAATAATATCTGAGCCATTATTTTCATTTTGACCACACTTATTTTGATATATTTCAGGGAATTGTAGAGCTATTTGAAATTCCATGGTAGAATGAAAACGTATGTCATGTTCAGAAAAACAAGTGATTACAGGCATACCTTCCTTTACTGTACTTTGCAGATACCATGGTTTTTACAAACTGAAGGTTCATGGCAACCCTGGGTCAAGCAAGTCTATTGGTGGCATTTTACTAACATCACGTGCCCACTTTGGGTCTCTGTGTCACATTTTGGTAATTCTCACACTATTTCAAACAATTTCATTATTATTGCATCTGTTATGGTGGCCTGTGATCTGTGATCCTTGATACTACTATAATTGTGGGGGGTATCACAAAGTGCACCCACACAAGATGGCAAACTTTATTGATATATGTGTGTGCCCTTACTTCTTTACCCACTGGCCAGTCCCCTGTCGTTCTCTCTCTCTCCCTGAGCCTCCCTATTCCTTGAGACACAACAGTATTGGAATTAGGCCAGTCAGTATCTCTACAGTGGCCTCCAGGTGTTCAAGTGAAAAGTCGCATGTCTCGGACTTTACATTAAAAGCTACAAAGGCTTAAGTTTAGTGAGGAAGACATGTCAAAAACTGAGATAGGTCAAAAGCTGGGCCTCTTGTGCTAAACAGTTAGCAAAGTTACGCATACAAAGGAAAAGTTTTTGAAGGAAAGTAAAAGTGCTACTCCAGTGGACACAAAAACTGATAGGAAAGTCAAACAGCCTATTGCTGATATGAAGAAAGTTTGAGAGTCTGGATAGATCAATGAGTCACAGCATTCCCTTAAGCCAAAGCCTAATCCAGAGCAAAGCCCTAACTATCTTCAGTTCCTTGAAGACTGAGAGAGGGGAGGAAGCTGTAGAAGAAAAATTTGAAGCTAGCAGGGGTTGGTTGATGAGATTTAAGGAAAAACACCAAGGTAAAGCATCAAGGGCTACTATAGAAGCTTCATCAAGTTATCCAGAAGTTCATTCATTAAAGTGGTTATACTAAACAGATTTTCAGTGTAGACAAAGCAGCCGTATATTGAAAGAAGACGTCATCTAGGACTTTCATAGCTGAAGAGAAGAAGTCAATGCCTGGCTTTAAATGACAGGCTAACTCTCTTGTAAGTAACTAATGCAGCTGGTGACTTCAGGTTGGAACTGATGCTCGTTTACTATTTCAAAAATTCTATGACCCTTAAAATTATTCCAAATCTCCTCTGCGTGTGCTCTCTAAATGGAAAACAAAGCCTGAATGACAGCACACCTCGTTACAGCATGTTTACCGAAATATTTTAAGTACAATGTTGAGATCTACTCTTCAGAAAAAAAAATATTCCTTTCAAAATACTATTTCTCATCCACGATGTACTTGTCACCCAAGAGCTCTGATAGAGATGTACAAAGAGATTAATGTTTTTATACCTGTTAACACAACATCTCTTCATCAGCCCATGGATCAAGGAATAATTTCAACTTTCAAGTCTTACTTAAGAAATATATTTTCCAAGGCTATAGCTGCCACAGACAGTAATTCAACTGAAGGATCTGGGCAGGGTTAATTAAAAACCTTCTGGAAAGGATTTACCATTATACTCGCCATTAAGAACATTTGTGATTTACGGGAGGAGGCCAAAGCATCAACATTATCGGGAGTTTAGAACGTTAGATGACTTTGAGGGGTTCAAGACTTCAGTGGAGGAAGTGACTGCACATGTGGTGGAAATAGCAAAAGAACTAGAATTAGAAGTGGAGCCTGAAGATGTGGCTAAATTGCTGCAGTCACATGATACACGTTGAACAAATGAAGAACTGCTTCTTATGGGCGACCAAAGAAAGCGATGACTTGAGAGGGAATCTACTTCTGTTCAAGATTGTTGAAGTGACAACAAAGGACTCAAAGTTTCACATAAACTTCATTGATAAAGCAACATCAGAGTTTGAGAGGATTGTCTCCAATTTGGAAAGACATTTTACTGCAGATAAAATGCTATAACACAGCATTGCATGCTACTGAAAAATCTTTCATGAAAGGAGTAGTGAATCAATATGGTAAACTTTATTGTCTTATTTTAAGAAATTGGCACAGGTACCCCAACCTTCGGCAACCACCACCTTGGTCAGTTAGCAACCATCAACACTGAAGCAAGATCCTCCATCACCAAAAAGATTACCACTCTAGGCTCAAATAATCATTAGCATTTTTTAGCAATAAAGTATTTGTAAGATACTAACTTTTTTTTAGACATAGTATTATTCTACACTTAATAGACTCCAGAATAATGTAAACATAACTTTTATATGCACTGGGAAACAAAATTTGTGTGGGCTTCCTTATTGCAATATTTGCTTTATTGTTGTGGTCTAGAACCAAACATACAATACCTCTGAGATATGCCTGTATTCCATTTATAGCAAATGTATCTGTTATCACAGTTAGACTCATTTTATGAAAATATAATTCAAGCATTCATAAAAGATGAAATCGCTAATGATGCTGAATAGTGCTATGTTGAGCAACAACTTTACCGATCGTAGATTAAGCTAATAAGTTTGAATATACTTGAGTTTCAATATATTTCTTTAAAAGACTTCTGCATTAATTCACTGGCATTGTTCTTTATTTCTTCTTTTCTTTTGCTCTATCTTTTTCTCTCCGAGAATTATGAAATTGTAATCAGCATTCTGTGCATAGAGCCAATAGAAACTAAAAAGACTGGGAGATAAGATGTATTTGTATCTTGTACTGACAATAAGTGTCACATCCTGATCTTATGTGAATGGTTATTGAGTATTTATAATGCATAGTGAGAGAAAACCATGGAGTTGTTCACAGATCACTGGGATCCCTAAATGTTCATTTAACCCTTGACCTTACTGTCATGGAAACCCGTGGTCATCTTTCACCCATAGCATCCTTGAAACTGAAAATTATGTCTGGCCAGGAGATTTTCAATTACTTTATCGATCAGATTCATTCAAAAAGTGATGAGCTACTCATTTGAGCAATAAAAAAAAAAAAAGAAAAAAACTAATTAGATGACCTTTGGCTGCATCTAATGATTTCAGGGATATGACAATAAAAGCAGGTTGTAAGAAGTTACCTGAATTCTGCATAGGTACTTAATTTGAAAAAAAAATCATTTAAAAATGAATTAGTATGCTTTACCCTGGTAATACAGACTCACTTTCTCACTGCATTAAAACATTACTAATAATGTTTTGTTCATTGGCTTTCTCTTTTTGACCCATAAAAATAAGTCCCATGAAACTTCTAGTTTGAATTTCTATTTGCCTAATTATGACAAATGTGCCAGAATTATTATAATATTCTACTTCAGTATTTTCTTAAAATGTTTTATTTAGTATTAAAAGTAACAATTTGATGGAAAAAAGCAGTGGAACAAATGATTCTAATTTTTGTTTGTGAACAATACACAATTTTTATTGTTTTTCTTAGGTTTTATCATTGATAAAGTAGGTTTAGGTTGACAAGAATCTGCAATGTCTTGATACGAAGGAGCACTGTATCATAAATTCTAGCCTCAATTAAATCTGGTTGGCTTTCTCATGATAGGTTCTGAACAGGCTGCTTAACTTTAATGTTTTGTTTTCCAAAACTACGAACTCTAGTAAATATGATGCAAGTAAATTGGAAAGACAGTAATTTTAAACTGGCATTTATAAAAGCTGGTGGGCAAAGGAAATTTGAGCATTAAGCAAAGTGTTTTCAATTGTATACATTGTAATACAAGTTGACTTTTTTGAGAAAAAACACTGTTTATCTTCACAGTTGCTTAGAAATACTTTTTCTTTTTTGTGGAAGTCTTTTTTGTATATATGTTTTTATATACTGCATGTATTTTATATGTTACATATAACCATACACAATTTGGATAATTAACCAAAGCCTGTGCTGTCTATGCTGAAGTTTATAGAACTTTCTCTTTAGAAAGACTTCCTTGGACCTGGACATATCCTTTTGATTATACGGTGATCTTCTAATGAATTCTAAATGAAATCTTAACTCCAATCAGCTCTGTATTTTTCTTAACCATGTAAACAATACTGTACATTTTGATGTCCTTCTTAAATAATCATTAAATACTTCTAAAAGCACTGAAATGCTGCTACAAAACAGTATTTCATAAACAAAAAGCAATACTAAACTAAACATTTAGAAATTATGGAAAATTTACCCAAATGAACACGACAATTGATATATAAGTAAACACTGATTTTGCGTAAGCACTGTTTTTGTCATATGATAAATATAATCTAGACTACTTTTCTTTGATCAGTTATAAGTACTAATTGAATCAAATCATCCAAATAATATGACCTTAATTTGGTGACCTAATGTCACAATTTTGGAAGTAAATTATTTATAATCTAATATTTTAACATCAACAGAAATATTTCAGCCTATATAAAGACAGCACACAACTGGTGCCATGAGGGTAAAATTATTTACTCTATTATGAAAAATGCAAAAGTGAAAATTGACTGTACTCATATGAGACTTCACACACTTTCTTACATATGCATATGAGATAAAATGAACATTTCATAGGTGACTGACTACCATAAGCTATTCATATTTTAATTTTAATTTTAATATGACTAAGCCTTTTTATACAATTAGGTCTTTATAAAATGTCAGAATTTATCTCAATGCCATTTTAACTCTAGGTAATACAGAGGAAGCTATTGACAATAAATAGTCTGGCCTTAGTATAGCATATTTGTATGTATGTATAGATGATAAATATATGATAGATTTAGAATATACATCACTAAGAATATGCATATTACTTCGAATAAGTTGTAAGTAATATATATTGTGTTGGGGCTTAAACCTTACTTTCATTGTCAATATATCAAGCCTACTGGACTGTACTGGTGTTAAAATACCCTGAAAAGAGCCTTATTCTTTAGTTTTGACAGATAGACCTCCACCTATAATTCTACAAGGCCCAGCCAACCAAACACTGGCAGTAGATGGCACAGCATTACTGAAATGTAAAGCCACTGGCGATCCTCTTCCTGTAATTAGCTGGTTAAAGGAGGGATTTACTTTTCTGAGTAGAGATCCAAGAGCAACAATTCAAGAGCAAGGCACACTGCAGATTAAGAATTTGCGGGTAAGTAATATTGGACTTGTCCTTGAATTATCATCTACACATACGTACTGCTCTACGGAAAAATTGTGGAGTGAACTTAAAATCTTACATCCTAGTATAATCGTATAATTGCTGTACATTTAAAGACAGCTAATGTTATTACTCATTTTTAAAACCATGGATTGAAATCAGAGGAAAGGTCACAGTTTCTGTGTGACTTACACACTCATAACAGAATCTCGAAACTTTTATTCCTGCATCCCATTCCGTATGTATACAGCCAATAAATCTAGAGATCTTAAACACATAACATTATTACGAGTAGTAGGATGTTGGAAATGACAAAAAATGACAAACACTTCTGATTTACTTTCATTAGCAAAAGAAATTGTAAGGAAATGTAGATAAAGTGCCTTGGCCAAAGAATTCAGTACAAGAAAAATAAAGAGACGAGACTGAGTACATAAAAGGCAAGTTTGCCTTGTTAGTGGAAAACCTTAGATTTTGGGTGTAGTTTCCATTTAAACCCATGGAAAGCACCAGGCATTGGTGGTTTTTCACTGACGTTTACCTGATTAAAAAATGAGCATTCCTGGCAACTTCACAAGTCAGTCCTGCTGCAGGAGCAGCTCACAATAAACTGTCTAGGTCTGAATATTGTATCAGTTATCTAGTATTATGTAACAATATTAACAAAAATATACTGGCTTAAAGCAACACACATTTGTTACACACAGTTTCTGGGAGTTAGGAGCCTGGGCGTGACTTAGCTGCAGTTTTAGCTTCCGGGTCTCACAAGGCTCCAGTTAGCTGTCATTTAGAGCTGCCATCTCATCCGAAGATTGACACAGGATGGATTTGCTTCCAATAAACATTATTCTTGGTAGCATCCCGTTCCTTGTGGCTACTGGACTAAAACCTCGCCTTCTCAATGGCCGTTGGCAGGAGGTCGCCTTTAGTCCCTTGCCATCTGGATCTGCCCCATATGACTACTTGCTTCCTCCAAGTCAGCAAGGAAGAGAGTCTCCTAGTAAGATGGCACCACAGTCCTGTGTACCAAATCACACACGTGACATACTGACACTTTGGCAATATTATATTGGCCAGAAGGGAACCAACAGGTTCCACTTACACTCCAGGTGAGGGATCACACAAGATACAAATACCAGAAGGATGCTATCATGGAGGGCACCTGTCCTCTATCAGTACATTCGACTCGTTCACCCAGGTATTGTAGGTCCCTTCCTCCTACCTGCCATGTAGCAAGTGCTCTGCTAAAGCTGGAGAGTACATTTGAGGAATCACAGATTGGGGATGAGACCCAGAACTAAGGTAGATGATGTAATAGTGCGTGAAGAAAACTTCAGTGGAGGAGCAATCTGTAGAATCTTGGGTCCAGGTAGAAATTAAGAGCCAAGATGAAGAAAAACGAAACAAAACCATATTTTAGAATTTTCCCATTGTGGAGCTAAAAAGAAAGGCAAAACTTTTTAACTACACGTTTCCAAATGATCACAATTTGGCATATTCTTCTTTTATGATGAGAATATATTTACAATTATATGTTTATCTGATATCACTATATAATACAGATATATATCACAAAACAAAGTGACTATTTTTGCTACATGCACACACATGCACACATAAGTTTTTACTTATATATAATATTTATCTTTAATTTTTGAGATACAGGCATTAATTATTGCTTTAAGCAGAAAAAATGCTGCCAAGTTGAGTTTTAAAAAGTAAATTCATACAGATATTTTGAGCCCGTCTTTTTATTGATTGTAAATTAATTGTTAACCTTCTTTGAATAAAATGGAAGTTATTAAAAAATTAATGCCAACTCTCTTTGTGTAAACACTTTAACCTCTATCTCTGGGCTAAAGGCAGACTTGGGCCATAGAGGTTAATGCATTTTCACTGTATCACTGAATTAGAGGGTATGCTTGAGTAGTCAAGATTTCTAGTAGTGTTTGAAAGAAGCAATTAAAGGTGGGTGCTTGATGATGTCAAACAAACTTTGAGCCCTCTGACAGGCTTCTGAGTAGTCTCTCTGAGATGCCAGCTCCTGGGGGCTTGTCTGCAGTCAAGCGCACAAGGAGAAAAGTAGATGATGGAATATGCCTGCACATTAATCTCATTTTAAAGCAATTTATTAAGGGTAAAAGGACAGGGTGGAAAAGAGGAGAAGCACCCCTGACCAGAAAACACATTATTTAAAATTAAAGGAATAAAATTAAAGGAATAAAATGTGGTGATGATGGTAATACCAAGAGTGAATTTTAGCAACGATATTTAGGTTTTTGAGGAGCCCCAAAATGAAAACGTTGTTCTTTTCCAGTAATATGACTGTCCTTAAAGGGAGAGACAAATGGGCTTTCCAGTAGTTCACTCATACAGTCAAGAGAGTTTCTGTAGGCTGTATTCCTTTGTGTCTCACTATTTTTTTTCAGTACTTAATGCAAGGGAGAAAAATAACATGATGAATACTGTGTTCTCCTAGGCCAGCTAATTGGTAACTGAATCTTTATCTTTTGAGAAGTAGAATATTCCAGCACTCATTAAAACATACCTACCACAGCTAATGTCATCCTTGTATCTCCACACAATGACAAGGAGATGCAGTTAAGAAGCATTACCTACATACTTTTCTTTTAGCATTTGCAAGTAATAACAAGTGCTACATTTTAGTTCAACAGCTATAATAAAATGCAAATTCTTTTACTCTTTCACAGACCATATTCAAATGAACATCCCATTAAAATCCAACCTCGGCTCATTATATTTAGTTTGTGAGTGATGCTTCTTAAATGCAAAGATTTCTAATGACTATAATGTGTGCACAGCCACATTTGAAAGAACGGTTCTTTCTACAATGGCTATCCCCATCATCCCTCTGTGTAATGGAAGACAGTTGTACAGAGATAATATGGCAAAGAATGTCATGCCAGAGCAATTTGAAACTTAAGTTAAAATACATAATGGCATTTAAAATCAATTAAGATAGTGAAATGGCAGTAACAGCCAGGCACTAATGATTTACCTGAGAATCAATCGAGAAAGCTTGAGTCATCAATACACTTACAGTTTGAACCCAGCAGATATAATATTCCATGAGCGACTCTATTTCATCAACAATTAGACTCATGTTCATCACAGGATATTAATTCTGCATCTTCTGCCTTGTCTGACTTTGTTTGGTCATCAGTTTCTCTTCCCAGTGTGACTTTTCCTTTACCTCTTAATTGATGAGAATGAATGTTGTTTGCAGTGTAAGCCACAAGGCTTGATCACAGAGAAGTTTTGAGTTGCCTCTTTTATTGATCTTGGGACTTTATTCAAAATGTAATCAAAGAATCTTCTGCTTTTTGCATTTGTAAAAGAGAACTCTTGATTACATTATCAACTTTTTCTGAAGGTCTTTTGCCGCTCTTTTGTGAATAACAAAACCATTTAAAGTGATTGATGAAATGGCAAATTTTAATTGTGATCAAAAGAAGAGTTATGAATTAGGATATTTTATGGTCCCTTTCAGCTGGAAATTGCAGTCACTCCATAGCCATTTTTTTTTTGTTTCAAATGATACTTTATTCATTGTTCCAGTACTGCGATTTACATATAAGTGAATACTGAAGTTTTTAAATAAAGAAATTTACCTTAAAAACATTTCTTTTTCTGGCCGGGCATGGTGATTCACACCTGTAATCCCAGCACTTTGGGATGCTGAGGCAGCCGGATGACCTGAGGTCAGGAATTCGAGACCAGCTTAACCAACATGGAGAAACCCTGTCTCTACTAAAAATACAATGTTAGCCGGGCATAGTGGCACAGGCCTATAATCCCAGCTACTTGGGAGGCTGAGGCAGGAGAATTGCTTGAACATAGGAGGCAGAGGTTGAAGTGAGCTGAGATCGTGCCATTGCACTGCAGCCTGGCCAACAAGAGCAAAATTCCGTCTTGGAAAATAAAAAAAATTCTTTTTGTTTTTCATTTTTTTCCATGTCTTTCAAAAGAAAGAAAGTGTGATCCCTTATTGTCTTATTGCTTATATACTTGGGTACATTTTATTCATTGAAACATAGTTTATTTGAGACAGAACAGTTTTGCATTACTGCTTCTTTGGAATTTTATAAGATTCTGAATGAGTTCTGTTCTGAGTCGTTCCTAAACAACGTAGATGCAGCAGAGCCCCGCCATAAAACGGAATTAGGAGGTAAGAGTATTACCATGGAGGAAGAAAAGAGAGGGGCAAATAGTTCATCAGAAAAATTAACATTGAGGTCCATAAATACATTTTAAAAGCCCTTTGGATCAATGTTATGAATAACATTATATGAGTTTATTTCAGTATTTTATGTATACATATGATGGACTCTAATGCATACTTTAGACAGCAGAATGATACATCTAATTTGAAGAATTTAAACATTGCCTGGTTGTCATTGAGTAATTATTCTACAGATTGATCGAAACCATTCTGTCCCTTCTCTGCACACTAGATTTCTGATACTGGCACTTACACTTGTGTGGCTACAAGTTCAAGTGGAGAGACTTCCTGGAGTGCAGTGCTGGACGTGACAGGTGAGGACTTTGTGAATTGGGAGAAAGCTTGAGCCCTTTTAGGGATAGCTCAGTATCAAATAATAAGTTAAGGGGAGATCAAAGGGTTTAATTCACTGAATGTAAATTTAAGTCTTTACATTCAATGCCGTTTTTTAATTCATGCATGAGTTTGCACATACCATTGCATTTGTGGAATTTAACACACTTGTCCTTGATAACCTTGTTATTTTATTTCCTCTGAAGTGTAAGGAATTCTAATGATCATGTGTAAAAGTACAGCTAACTGTTATTAACATGTAGGAGAAGCAAATATTCACTTACATACTTCCGATTCATGGAGACGAATTTCTCACTGTCTACGTCAAGTCCTTTAGTAGACTGCTTCCTGCTTTTAGGCAGTTTTGTCAACTTATGCAATCAGGAATGAAGTTTTTTCTGTCTGTCCTCTATAGAATCTGGAGCAACAATCAGTAAAAATTATGATTTAAATGACCTGCCAGGGCCACCATCCAAACCGCAGGTCACTGACGTTACTAAGAACAGTGTCACCTTGTCCTGGCAAGCAGGTACCCCTGGAGCCCTTCCGGCAAGTGCATATATCATTGAGGCTTTCAGGTATGGGACAATTCCTTTTCTCTCCGTTGGGCTTTTGCTTTAGCTCCTGTATTCTAAACTGTCACCTGAACTATCCTGCTGTTTTATTAAAGACATGTCCAGTCAATGCATTTTAAGAACTGATCTCTCTGAATTTATTTAAGAACAGAGTTTTTTTTTAGTTTACAACTTAATTATAAGATTTAAATATGCATTATTCATGCCTAGGTCTACAGGGATCCAGTTCATAACGTAATCACTTAGCTCCTTTCTTTAGCCAGACCATTGTAGGGATTTGAGGTGAGAATTTAAGCATCAGAACTGGGTAGAAAATAATATAATTAGGCATAGGCACAGGCACTTTTTAAAGTTATGCGATATTTATTGAAGCAGGGGACTCTGGCATTTTTATTCCTCATGACTAGAGCAGAACTTAAAATAATCCCGTGTTTTTATACCATATATTACATACATGTATTAGATATGCCTGAGAGAAAATTAAAAACAATAATTAAGAAATTTATTCCATGTGCTTCTTGTTGCTTAATGGAAAAGATGTTTCCATGTGTTATCTGAAATAATTGTTGCCAATTTAAAGATTTAAATGTAAATTAGCAAATATCATTATAAAATTGTCTTATGAGAATTTGATAAAATGCTTACACAAATGGTAAAATGTGCTTTCATATTACCTTTCAAATGTGCGTCTATGTGACATTATAAATTTTAATGGATAACCACTTTTTTTTTAAACATTAGGACAAATGATCACTTTCTTTTAAGGCTTCTCTAATCATTATTTAAGGTAATGCTAGGTACTTATTTTTCAAATTTCAAAATACTATGTTTCTGTAATTCTTATGCTTGGATAGTTAAGGATATCAGAAAAATAAACTGACCACCCTGAAAATTACATTTTCCCCTTCTTCTGAGCAAAAGTGGCATTTGACCTTAGGCAAACTGTTCTAAACTGGCATCCATCTGTGGCCGGCTGTAAAAGGGTCCTCACACACAAATTCAGAGATATTTCACCATTCTGAGATGAGAAATCACAATACTGCGTAATGTACAATTTTATTAAAAATGTAACCAAGGGAAAATATTCATTACATGCTTCCTTTCTTCTTTTACAGATATGTAGTTTTAGAAGGCTCTATTATAATATTGCATGTGGAATTGATGCAAAAGAAAACACACCTTGTAACAGGAAAATGTATTGGCATAATTTACTCTGTAGTCCATTTATTCTTTCTACAGGTTAATTCTTTTCAAGGTATATATATATATACATTTACGAGGACCATACTTATTGTATAAACTTGATGTTGTGATCTTGGCCTCTGTTCCTTTTACAGGTATTCATTTAGTGGGCTGCTGTGCATTAGCAAAGGGCTGTCACATCTCCTGGGCTGAGTTTAATTTTGTTGTGCATGGCACTTTCGTTAGGTGGGCTCGGCTTTGTTGTGGAATAAATTGAAATCATCCAAATGTTTCATTTATTGGGCTGAACACTTCAAGTGTTGTGTGTGTGTGTGTTTAATTTTCAGCCATTAACTTTGTCATTGATACCCAACTCCATTTCCAATATTCAAATGACTGTTCTTTAAATGAAATTTCTGTTCGTGTTTCAGCCAATCAGTGAGCAATAGCTGGCAGACCGTGGCAAACCATGTAAAGACCACCCTCTATACTGTAAGAGGACTGCGGCCCAATACAATCTACTTATTCATGGTCAGAGCGATCAACCCCCAAGGCCTCAGTGACCCAAGTCCCATGTCAGATCCTGTGCGCACACAAGGTACTTTCAATAGCTGTCAGCACTACTGGTTCTAGGCGGAAACATCAGGTATTGAAGAACAAGGGGATTGATGAGGAAATGTGAATGTGCCTGCATTGCTTTGTATGATGACTCACTAGGCTTTGTCCAGGGAAGGAGACGGTAGCTTGCTGTTTACCTGGCTGAGATGTGTTCTCTTTCTGGAGTTTTCAGGTTTATTCAGCAAAAAATAAAATAATTGGGTACATCTACGTAGAATGAACTCGCAAACTTAGAGCTTCACTGTATTTCAAAGGGAGAAAAATGTTTCTCCTTCTTTAAAATTAATTATACAATAAGAAAAAAGTGGTCTTTAATAAATAGATGCCCAAATAGAGGTATAAAAATTATTTCCTATTGTTTCGGAATTCTGTTTTTCTAGTGCGGTGGTTCTCAGAGTATGGTTCCTGGATAAGCAGCATTTGCATAGCCTAGAACTGTTAGAAACAGGCATTTTCAGGCTCAAATTCAAATGCTCTGAAGTGGGGGCTCAGCGTTTGTTTTAACAAACCCTCCTTGTGATGCTGATGTATAAGTTTTACATCTACATTTACATTTTACATCTACATTTACTGCTATAATGAATTTCATTAAATCAGATGTTTAAAGGAGCAATTTATTACAGAAAGCAGGAAATCAAGTTTTCTTTCTAAAGAACTCAGTTCTTTTGGCTATAATGTAAAATACACACAGAATATTAAAATATAATTTCAAAATGGAAGATTTCATAATTTTATCCATATTACCTGTCTCTTCAAACTGAGAAGTCACTGGAGTCTGAGGTTTAATACACAGTGCTACATTATAGTTTCCCTTCTGACAAGTAGGTGAAAGAAATTAATAAAATAGAAATGGTGATTTTATTATTTGTTATAACCTACTTCCCACAGGGTTATTCAGAAAGGGTTAATTATTTCTTATTTGTAAAAGACTTTGAACAAGATATAATTCAAAGTAGTATTTTTATGCAATGAAAAGCACCATACAGCCATAAAATATTATTATAATTACAATGTAGTTCAGTGATAGTAACTAGCATGCTATTATAAGAGAGAAGGGCGCCTTAAAGGAATCCAGTGAAATAAAGTCACCACGTGACTTTGTAACGTTGCTGACATGATGACAGTCAAGGGAGGAGGGAATGCCATTTTGCTATTGTTCTCTAAGCAGTAATGTGATTAATTTTCCATGATGATAAAGGGCCTGTAGGTAAAGAACCTGTCTCTTGAGAAAGAAAAAGCACAACAAGGAATTTGAAAATCTGAAATTTGAACCTAGTTGTATTTTAACTTCCTTAAATCTGGTTGCTTTTTACGGTGTTTGAATTAAGTGTGTAAATTTTATTATTGAACTTAAAATGGAAGATGTGTACAATTTTAAGTCAAGAAATTGTAGTACCGTGATCATTTATACCTTTGTGGATAGAAATAGTTTTTGTGTGTAGCCAGCGAAAGGCAAAGAGAGATCAGAATAGGAAGATATTTGGTGTGATTGTATCTGGCAAACCTTTTTGATCATTCGATAACTATGCTAGTCACTAAATCTTGACTCATAAAATATCTCCCAGTGAAAAGGTCAAGAAAGATTAATGAAAAGTTGTTTGTGGTCTGGTTTGTTCCAATGGAAAGAATATATAGAGTGAAAGACTTAGGTGCTCTTAACAAATATTTAACAGGAAAACTCATGTTTTGTGTCTGAAGGTCAGGATTATTTTTGGATACCATACTTTCAGCAGCTTTGCAATCTGCAAAGCACTTCTTTTTCAAGGAACACTTTGCTTTGTGAGCTCTTATTTTTCAAAGGTATTAAATAACAGAGAATCTGGAAATCTTTTATTTCATTAAAGTACAAATACTTGCATTATCAACATCAAAACAGAACATACATATATAGGCATAGATTAATATTATTCACATAAAGGGACTTTTTCCCAAATTAAGCAAATCTTCATTTTACTGTTTATGTTAAAAGTGAAAAAAAAAAAAAGTAGAACTGGAAAAACATTACCGAAGTATTATTCTCAGTTACTTGTGGCCCAATTTAAGTTAGTGCACCCAATTTAAGTAATAGCTGAGAAATTTTCTTAAAAATACTTTTGCAAGAGTGCTGCATGCATTGTAGCCTGAGATGATAAGAAAAAACAAGATTAAGAAAATAAATACCTTTAAATTGGACTTCCTTTCTTAAATGCAGTAGTTGGAGAAAAACAATTACAACATTGTGTACCAGTTTAAAAAGTTAATTTGAGTAAGTGTAAAATTCAGTGTTTAATATCAATTTGATGGACTTAGCTGCCTATAATTTATCCTTTTTTCTTAATGGACCCAGAATATAAACTATCGTATGGAGAAATAGAATAGTACTCGGGAGACTGATGAATAAGGTGGCATAACAGTATGTGACTGAGGGTGTAATATTTTAAACAACACTTTTTTCTTCCCTTCACCCCACCACTGTTCCTGAAAATGGCTACATGACCTCATGTCAGGTATTAGAGTACTGCTCAGAATGTATTGCTTTAGAACATGTTATCAGTATTATAACTATTTCTGTCAAACGTATCTTTGCAAATTTGAGGAGCTGCTTCCCCTCTTCCCCCAACTCTGTTTACCTTTAATGACAGAATTCACTTTCCTGGTCCGCCGTTACTTCTCCATCCATGCTCCCAGACTGAAGTAGGTCAAGAAGAAAACACAACCTGCAAATTGGGACAAGGATTAACAGGTTCCTTAGCTTCGGTTTTTAGATATATTCCAATTTACAAATCCAGAAAATCATTCAATACAGCAACATCTCTACAAAGCTGATCTTTCTAGAGATCTTTCTAGACGTCTGAAGAGAAGTCTTACAGCACATACTTTATCCTTCAGTAAGAAAATAAACGGCCTTATTCAACAGTGTGTCTGCATTTGAATGGGGATGAGGGATTATAAATACTCTTTTATTAATATATTTTTAGTAAAGATCAATATCATCTCTCATTATGTCCTACCACAGTGGTATATTTATATATATAGGCTTAAATGCTTTTTGTCACAAAAAGAGTTTTAGTTTTGTTTCCCTGTAATTAGTTCTAAAGATATGATGTTGATGTACATGAAATAAATTGTAATTTTAATGTGCATTTTTAAAAATTGGGAATGATTATCTTATCCAACTGCAGATATCAGTCCACCAGCACAAGGAGTGGACCACAGGCAAGTGCAGAAAGAACTAGGAGATGTCCTTGTCCGTCTTCATAATCCAGTTGTACTGACTCCCACCACTGTTCAGGTCACATGGACGGTAAGTTTTCAAAGGCAATATTAATAGTAATCTCTTCTCTTTAGGGAAAGCAAAACATGGAAAATGCAAATTAACAAAAAGTGATCATAAAAATTCTCACCATTTAAAATCAAGGTATACTCAATGACAGTAAAGAAAATCAATAAACTAAAAAGTTACTAGAATAAACATAGTTAAGAATACATCAATTATTATATAAATATGGCATATTCTGTCTTCTGAATTTTCATACAGCTTTCTTGCAATATAACTTGCATACCATAAAGTGAACAACTTCATGATTTTTAGTGTAGAGTTTTAAAATTATCACCAAAATCTAATTTTAGAACATTTCATCATCCCCAAATGAAATCCTGTGCCTGTTAGCATTGATTCTCTCATTTCCCCTACCGTAGCCCTGTGTAACACTAGTCTACTCTATGTTTTTGCAGATTTGCCTATGCTGGACCTTTCATATGAATAGAATTGTGCAATATATGGTCTTTCGTGTCTAGCTTCTTTCACTCTGCCTAATGTTACTGAGGTTCATCCATTTTTGTAGCATGTATCAGGACTTCGTTTCTTGTTGTTATCAAATAGTATTCCATTTTATCTACTTCCCATTCTGTTTATGCCTTCATCAATTGATGGATGTTCGGGTTGTTTATTATGAATAATGCTGCCATGAACATTTGAGTACAAGTCTTTGTATGGACACGTGTTTTCATTTATCTTCGTATAAACCTACAAATTGTTCAGTAATATTGGTAACTTTCCATTTAATATTTTGATGAACTGCTGAGATGCTTTCCAAAGTGGCTATAGCATTTTCTATTCTCACAAGCAATGTTTCAATGTTCCAGATTCTCCCAAATCCTTGCCATTTTTTTCTCACATCCTTGCCAACACTTATTATTATCTGCCATTTGGATTATACCCATTCTAGTGGGTATGTAGTGGTATATAATTGTGGTTTTGATTTGCATTTCTTTCATGACTAATCATGTTCATCTTTTCATGTGCTAATAGAACTTTGTTTTTAGAGAAATGTCTGTTGAAACTCTTTGTCCATTTTTGGGCAAAGAGTTTATCTTCTCACAGACTTACAAGTGTTTATATATTCTATTTTGTTTGTCTTCTTATTATAGACTTATAAGTGTTTATATATTCTAGATACAAATGCCTTATCGGATATGTAATTTGCAAACATTTTCTCCCAGTTTGATTACTGTAGCCCTGTTGTATAGTTTAAAGTTCAGTGGCATGGTGCCTCCTTCTTCCTTCTTTTTTGCTTTCGATTGCCTTAGCTATTCAGGCTTTTGTTGTTGTCGTTCCATATTGTTGCTCCTTAAAGCAAACTATATGATCAGTCAAATTCTTGGTTTATGAGTACAAAATTAGGTTATATATATATTTAAAAATAAGACTAAGTTTATAATGTTTTAAGAGTAATTATGGTTATTTAGGATTACACTTTCTTATTCCAGTTTTGATATAATTTTGCATAGATTTATTCTATTTTTTGCATGTGTTGGTTTCTATTCTTGTGTTCCCATGAAGGGAACACAATTACCTTATCATTTTTCCAGTGGCACAGTAGGGGGTATTTCTGCCATGCCTTTTTTATCTTTCAGTACCCTTGAGTAGATACCAAACTAACAAAGCCAAAGTAACCCTGTATTTTTCATAGCGTATTTTTCCTCATTCTCATATGAAAAAAAGTCTCTGTTCTGTTGAAAGTTATAAGGGAGATTCTTTTAAGCTGTATCTAAATGTAGGAATTCTTTGGGTAAGAATCAACGTCATTATGTTTATGAAGTTAATCACTTTAAGTCACTGAATTTGAAGAGTAAATAGCATTAGATCAAAATTGCAGGACAGTAGACTGGGAGTTCTTCCAGGAGGGGGACGTTGTCCATCCATCCCTGCACCCCAAGAAGGTATCATTGCTAGTTTGCGCATCTATCCCCATCATGGGCTGTAACTTCTGTGAGGCTACAGTCAATTTCTTTCATTTCTGTTTTTTCAGAGCAGAGTGTCTATTGTGAAGTACTCTTTTAATAACCGTTTGTTGAATGATCAAATCAGTTGTTTTCATACATTTTACACTTTTTTTTAATAAAAGAAAGAATGCAGTTAATATCACTGCATATTGTTCTCCATGACTTTGTAGTTGCACTTGCCATAAGTATGCATTTGAAAGAGGTAAATTAAGTGAAATGAAGTCAGACTGGGGTGTGCCCAGTGGTCAAAGAATTTGTGTAACTCTTTTATTGATGTAATATTTTCAATTTACTAAACGCATGTGTTATTTAAATTATCAAAATATTAGCATTTGCTTTACAGAAGTGTTGGAGTTGAAGGGAGAAATAATTCCCCACCATGTGATTAGGTTTTGGGCCAGCTGAGAAAGTTTCCCAGTGGTTGGCAGGATTAATAATCAAAGGCCCAAGGCGTAACTACTGGAGAGCCCATTCGCTGCCCCCACCCTCACCAGGCTAACCTTGAAGCAACAATAGTTAGCAACAGCTACTTTCTAAAATGGCTGCTTTTAGAATGCGTGTAGGCAAAAATGGTAAGAAACCTGCTGTTCCACAAAGAAAAATAGCAATAAGTCACTTACTGAAAAATGATTATTCTCGTTTTATGTTTTGTCTTTTTTTGTTTAAGGACAAAAAGAATTACATACTCTTTGCCCATTCAGCATTATTCCACAGAGATTGAAAAGAGTGCTTTGACAAACTAGAATTTCAGAAGTCTGCTAAAACCAGATCAGACCCTTAGCAGCTAAACCCATCAAAGAAAATTCACTGAATTTTCGCTTTCTATCGAGTTGTTATGTTGTTTTGTTTTGTGAATGGAAAAGGTAAATATGAAGCATCACACGTAAACAGTTTAACTAAAATGCTGACTTTAGGGCCACATAGGAGCCCTCTTCTCTTTTAGCCTGTTGCTTCCTTAACAGTTATGTTTTTTCATTGTGCATCTCTAAAGCCAGCAAAATGCTTTCACTTATATCAGTCATTTGATTCTTTCTGTGCCCTTGAGATATGGGTATCATGTGAGCAAATTAAGTAAACTGAGGCTCAGAAAGTTTAAGAGGTTGAAGTATAATTCAAATTGAGACCTAGGACTGGAAGTCTGAAGTTTTTGTAATCATTTTACTTTTTCCTTAAGGCAACTCTTTTTTTTTTTATTCCTGTTTCAGAAAATACTAATTTTTTTAAATTATATAAACCCATGAATCTGTGGTCAAACTCTGATTGTAATCAACCCTAAAAGAAAATCCTCCTTCTTATAATCAGAATGTTAAGAAAACTTACAACAAACATATGGCCTAACTTGAAAATGACCACCTGTCAAAATGAGCTCCAAAATTTAGTGGGGTAGAACACACATCCAGTAAAAATCTCACCTTTTTTTTTTTAAAGTAAATGTTCAACATTTTCATTTCTGCTTCCACCTGTAACAACAAATTTCCTCCTGAAAAAAAAAAAAATGCATTGCCACTGCACACAATCAAGTTAAACTATTTAACTATTAAGAAGCCCCATACTATATACTGGCTGAAGATAGTGTACACTGAAGTAAGCAAAACAATGTTTTGTAGTAAACATTAGCTTCATAAAGTCCCTAAAACACTTAATTAATGAAAACCAAACATGGATAAAACCAATTTACCCTGATTTACAGACTCCCTTCATCTGGAAACAGCTGCTTAATGTTCTTCTTAAAAATACAGCTTGCTTCTTTCAGTATTAACAAGCTATTATTGTGAGTTATGTCTTTCTTTCAGTATATAAATTCACTTAAAGCAAATGCAGAGAAGTTTATAAAATGCAGGTTTAATGTTGTTTTCACATATACTGCAAGGGTTTTTCTGAACACTGACAGTTTGGATGAAAGTCGTCTCTCTTTGACTGTCATAAATTTAACTTTTCACCTCTTGGTTGCCTTATTTCATAGTGTCAGAAAAACTCCTGCTTTTCAAAAAATGTGTCCAATGGTAGAAACATAAACTGGTAGCATGAATGAGGACCTGCCAATCACCAGCTTCCATGTTACACCTGGGCTCACTTTTTTTTTGATCTAACCTCATACAAGTGTAGCACTAATTCCAGAAAGTCTTTGAGGGTGAGACAGCTGTCAGGCGGGTGAAGGAATTCATACTTGTTGAGACGTATCTGAGAAACTGGAATTAGCCACACACAGAAATACACGCACACTCACACACACATACAAACAGACTCACTCACTTAATTTAGGAAGTTCTCTCGTTTGGACATTCTGAATATTTCCTTTTGTTCCACTGTGTTTTTATTGAGACTCTGCATTTTTAACTTTCTGAAGCCAATATTTTTAGCTAATATTCATTTGCTGCCCTCGATTAAAAATAAATAAAACAATACTGCAACTAAAGAAGAGATGTTAGTAGTTAATACATGAAAGAATATGCTTTGTTTATAACCTGCTGACAAATCTCAACATTTCAACGAATGTTGAAACAAATTTCAAATGCTGAACAAATTTCAAATTTCTTCGATAAAGAAATTTGTTTACAGCTGAAATTAATAACCATCTCCATTATCCTCTTTTTTATTTCCTCTTTCTCTACAAACTTCCTGAAATGAGGTTATTCCATTCTTTTCCATTAATCTTTACACTTTATTTGACATGAAGTATGTCAAATTAAAGCGTCTTAGACTATAGCTATTAAACTATGATAAAGGATATTAGTTGGAACATGCTGTCATAGTTTGTGTTTAAATCAAGTGTTTCTAAAAACATGACAAAGCATTCAAAGATGTTTAATTTTTAAAAATAATTTTTAAAATCCATGGTTGTTTCTCCTTGGAAATGAAACAACCATAAAACCCTGGTAAATATTTTAAAATAAATGTACACAGAAAAGAATATATTTAATTTTTTAATCTTGCATTTATGTATATTTGATTTTTAAGTGATTGTCAATAGCAAACAAAAACACTTTTTAAAAGTTCTATTTGGTATGAGTTTAATCTTAGATCGTTATTTAAGATAGCTTCTTACTGTACCTTAAAAAAATGAAGATATCAAAAAAGTTGTCAAATTGTGTCAAGAATGGGACAATTGAAGAGTCAGAAGTTGGTAAATTCGTAGAAGTTTTTCATTTACTACTTGGCAATGGGTGTAAGTGTTCATATGCTTTTAAAACAAATGCTGTAGCTCTACAACTTCAATCTCTGTTTTATGCTTTTTCCAGCCACAGGGATTTTATCCATGATGTCCTCACATTTGTTTTCCTGGGCAAATCCTGCTCTTCTTGCCTATCTGAGCACTTAGGAGCTCTTCATGGAAGCTTTGTCTCCCCAGCTCAGACACCTTTCTCTCCACTGTAGGCTTTCTTAGCAGCTGGCACCTCCGATTCTTAACACTTGCTTATGCTTTTTTTTTATGATTGTAACTTGACCATGGTTTAGTCATTATTAGACCACTCCTACTCTCCACCTGGACTCCATCTTCTCACCTCAGCTCATGAGGGCAGGGACTGACTCTATTTTCATTGTGCATTTTATCCCCAGAGCTCAGCAGAATTTCTGGCACCTATGAGTAGGAACCCGAAATATGTGTTTTGAGTGAGTGACGATGTTAGGGAATAGACACAGGATGAGAATGGAAATCCCTGACAAAGGGCATATTACATATAAAGCCACATGAAAGGGAATTGCTGGATGCAGAAAAAGGGTCAGCCGAGGAGACCACATAAAGCTAGAGATATCAGCACATAAAGCTGTAGAGATATCAGCACATAAAGCTAGAGATATGGGCAGATCTGGCCTTTGAGAGGCCTTGTGCTCATCCAAGGAATCTGAATGGATTCGGTAGGTATCTTAGGTACTGTGCGGTATTCTAAACAGGAGAGAGAGTTCTTCCAGTCTTCATTTTGGAAATAATCTTGGGAGCAATCTGAACTCTGACAGGATAGGAGTTCTTAGAAGGGAAGCAGAGAGATTAGCTAGAAAGTCACAACATGACTAAGATGAGGACAGAAATAGGGACAACTGAAAAGAGGACAAATTCACTGTGATGTCTAAAATACCTTCCTTTAGTTTCCAATGCCCTTTACCATGTGTTTCAGGTTGATCGCCAACCCCAGTTTATCCAAGGCTACCGAGTGATGTATCGTCAGACTTCAGGTCTGCAGGCGACATCTTCGTGGCAGAATTTAGATGCCAAAGTCCCGACTGAACGAAGTGCTGTCTTAGTCAACCTGAAAAAGGGGGTGACTTATGAAATTAAAGTACGGCCATATTTTAATGAGTTCCAAGGAATGGATAGTGAATCTAAAACAGTTCGTACTACTGAAGAAGGTCAGTATTCAGATTTCGAATATAAATCAAACTTGTATCATGATGAAGCTAATTTCTGTTACAGTACCTATTTATTATCTTTCTTAGAAGAATGGAAAGATATCATCTAAAAGTAAATTGAGGAAGTGTCATTTTCTCCTTTTATTCTGAGAAGTCTGTAGACTCTGACAAGCAGAAAAAAAGGGCACTAATGTAATTTGAATTTTTCTTAAGTAACCATTTGCACCAAATCCATGTTTTTCAGTTCACTTGAATTGGATAATTAAATATTCCCCTATATTTTGTGTAGATTTGGTTCATTTGGAGTTTTGAGAAACGGAAATTTGAGAACACAGGCTGTTCATTGTGACTACTCTTTTTGTTATAGTTAATTGTGGCATTGTCTTTTATTAGCCACTTTCTCCTGTGGGCAGTTCCCTCTTTCCCCCCATTTTGGACCTTTTCTTACCTAAAGGAATGTTAAAGTCGATCTACGATGAACATGAGCTTACTGTAGGTTTCCACCAGTTCATTTAGTGGTATCTCTTTCACTAAACAAGAGGCTTATAATAAATGTTGTCATCAAAGTTAAAAAAAAAAAAAGGAGATGCCAAATGAAATACATCCCTCCACTCTGCTTTTGTATCAGTTTTGTGCTCACAACTCTTATAGAAAGCCCTTTCTCTAAACATATTTAGAAGCCTTAAGAAAATGTATATAGGTTGCCCATGTTAACATCTATATGCTTGACCACGGAGCTCTTAAATTACACATTTCTTATACAACACAGCAAGAATGTCATCTTCCCATTGTTTTGCAGTGTGATACACTGGCAGGGGCAAAAATGCATATTTAAAAAGGAATTATTAATCTATTTTTAGGATATGTTGAAAAGTTACCAGTAATTATAATAGTATCTTTTCTCCTTGCTAACATGTTTAAAAATAATAATCATTATCATCATATCTTTATTCATCATTAAATTTCACTCTGTGTTGCAAATTGGTCGTATTAATGAGTGGAGCAGGTAACCTTAACACAGAATGCTCTGTTTGAAGCCTGTTTCCAAAATCAATTTCACTGCAGTTAGACTTTTCCTCTGGATTAGACATTTGTCACTGTTGGGTATACATTCATCTCCAATTTCTGTGGCTGTGTGACGGTAACAAATGGAACTCAGCCGGGCTGTGTCTGGGAGCGATGAGTGGCGATTTGGGTTCTTTCACATCTGTAGAAAGAAGCTGAGTCCTGGAATAATTGACCTGTCAGGAAGCAGGCACGGTGTTCTTGCCAAGACAGCAGCAAGGTGAATGAGAAACCCATTCTAAAAGTCTTATTTTTCAATGCAGTCTACTTAATAACTACAAGGCTCGTAGACAAGTGGTTGGATTTATGTCATCGTACCATATTTTGGAGCAATATTGTCACAAAGAGGAATAGAAAAGAACAGTATTGTGTTAACATGTTTCTGTGTGTGTCCTATATCTCGATGCAAATATGGCTATACTTAAGTGAAATATGTCATGACATATTTACAAAACATGGGATATCTGCTGTCAGGCTTTTAAAATACATTTTAGGATATTTAGGATAGTTTCAAAAAACTAAACAGTGTAAAGCTATGCAAGCATTGATTATTCTATATAAGTCATTAATACCACAAAATTATTTGGTATTTTAAACTGTCAAGAAGTATGTTATGTAATACTATAATTTTAACTACTCCTACCTTTGGTTTTAATTCAGAGACTCACTGAGAATAGATGAATTTTTCCACAACGTTATTACTTCTTAGTTCTCAGACACTTTAAATGAGAGATGCGGCAGTCTAAAATCAGGAAGAGCTTCCCTCTTGCCTTTTCTCAGGATGGTTGTAGCGAGTTATAGGAGAAACTATAAAGGCAGAGAATTAATGTAGGAAATCAAAATCTTCCCATTTCACATTTGACGCAGCATGAACTGTGTTCATTTTATCATCAGAGTCCCTTCCCATCCGTATAAAAGAAGTTTTCAATCTTAACTTACAGGTCAATTGATAGCAGTCAATTATTTTTCCCAGTATGGGAAGAAAAAGAAGTTTTTTCTGGTTGATGACATTTATAGCTATGTTTCTGTTTTTATTTAGTAAGCACAAACTAAAAGCATACCAAAAAAGCTGTCAATAATGCCACCATTCAGAAATAACACATGATAAATACTGGAATATATCTTCTCCGAATAATTTTGGTTAGAAGAAGTTGTGGTTGTTTTTAGAAAGACAGCCTGTTAGAGTAGAGTTGTAAAATCAGACATACACAGGCTCAGATTCTGACTTGCTGTTTGACTTTCCTAAGTCTCTTACAGTAACCTTCTGTTTCCTCATCTGTAAAACTGAGATAACGGTTGTTTCTACCTCCTGAGGTTAATGCGAGAGTTAAACCTGACACTTAGCTCTTTGCGGGGTGTATAGAAAACACGTATTAGAACGTTAGCTGTTAAATTTATTATTGAGAGCATATTACAAAAGCTGTTGCGTTTGCTTTAAATCTAGATATTGTATTTAAAGAATATTTCTCAGAAAAACCTGTCACTGTTGAACAGCGTGTGCATTCAGAACTCCTGGAAGCCAGAGCCTCCTGCATCTGGTCTTTCTATTCATTTTTTGGAAGCAGCACTAACGCGCACCAAGGCTTACAGTTTGCATTTATTCTAATTACTTCCTCTACAGCCCCAAGCGCCCCTCCACAGTCCGTCACTGTACTGACAGTTGGAAGTTACAATAGCACAAGTATTAGCGTTTCCTGGGATCCTCCTCCTCCAGATCACCAGAATGGAATTCTCCAAGAATACAAGGTAGGACCCGGGTGAAGAAGGACAGCCCTTGTATAAAGGTTCCCAGAGAAATCTCAGTGCCTCACGAATGAGGAACATCTCTAAAGGTTCTCTTATTCAGTTTAAGTGTAAAGTTTTTATTTATATTTCTGTGTGACAGATAATGAAACAAATGCATAGGTATTAGAACCTGAGTTCCAGGTCACAGATCACACAAATCCAGCTGAACAATTAAACCACACCAGTGAAATGGTTTTCTGTATGGTGTGATTCTACAACCTCAAGGATTTAAAGAGATGGGGCAGAGGGTAGGTGGTGAAGCCCAGAAAATGGGTTTTATCTTTGTTATTAGAATTCTGCATAAGAGGCTGTAAGGCAGCTGTTTTTTAAACCACATTCTCAGAAAAATAGAGGCTTCGGAGTTAGAGGTGGAGTGGGTTGTGGGCAGCACCAACCCTCACTCCAGATGCTACTTTTGTCTGTTGACTGAGGTTGTGTAGATTATTTCACCTGAAAAAAAGCCACTGAAACAACATATTTTGCAAAATACTGACTTACAGAAAAAACAGTTGATTATCTCATTTTTCACCTGCTGAATTTTTGGCTGTTTAGAAACAATAATATCTATTGTTTCATTGCCATCATTTGGTGTTTAACATAGTAAGTATGTCGAAGTTTTCAAAATAAGATTCCGTTTGTGTTGTGATTAGACCGCATGTGAATGAAAAACCCCTCATTAATCTTTGTAAAATTTAAAACTATAATTTATTAATAAATGATGTTAGTATCATCTATTAATGAATATTTCTAGATTTCTGAAAACAGCATATTCTGTACATCTAATACAATACAAAACTAGACACTCATTTCACCTAAAAAATTTAGAGTTGGTATTTAATATTAAGCTGAATAATTTTACTAAAAAGTTTGCAGATTAAATTTTGTTTCTAAGAAAACATTAATTTTTACATCGAATTTTATTAAAGATCAACTTGCTAAAGCAAATGAATGGACTAAATGTATACAGATTTATTTTAAAATGACTTATATCATGTTATAAGACACATGCTTAAGAAACATAAGAATAAATGCTTTTACAATACAATAATTATATAGGTTCTAAGATTTTATAAGCATTAGGACATGGTTTTAATAGAGTAACAAATTATCTACTCCGTGTGAGCTTGAGTGTGTGTGTGTTTTAATGAGGTTAGGAATTTATTTTTGTACCATTTGGCACTAAATATCCTACATTTCCATGTAGTTAAATATTGTTACTTTTTTTTTTACAACATGAGGAATTTGTTTTTTCATAAGTATACGTTCTCACTCTCTAGAGACTTGTCCTATTTTGGTTTCAAAGTGCATATGTAGGTAAAAGCTAAATATTCCTTCACTAAGAACACAGATATCATATATCAATAAAAGAAACACATGATTCACAAGAATTATTTTTTACTGAAAAAATTTGGGAACTTACCTGCTCCAAAACAAATCATATGTTTTCCTGCATATGTGTCCACATGTAGATTTTAAAATATTATATAATACGAACACAAATGTGGATACACAATGGATTTCTTTTCATAACACATTTTATAGGAACAATTTCCACATCCCAGAAGATGCCTTAAAATTTGATTCCTGCTTGAAATAAAAGCCTAACTTCCTTAACGTCCGTGTCGAGAGACTTGCCACCACTTTGTTCTCATGAATGTGTATGTGTGTGTAGATATGTGTTGATCAATATTAGATTTATTGCTGTCAACGTAAGTATTGGCTTTAATTTCATTTTAGTCAATACCTATAACTTAGGTCAATTAATCTTGTTAACTACTTCTGTGCAAGTTAATATTTTCTTAAATGAAATATAAATTACTTAGATGTCTACCTATATACCTTAGATATTGCAACTTATAATCACCATATTTTAGTGGATTTTATGCATAATAAATCTTGATAAATAAAGCAGAGGAAATTATGTGTTTTAATCCACACAAAAATGGCATTTGCATCCAAAACCACACACCAGGGGTGTTAAAGAAGGCACTGTGCTTTCTAAATTACTCATTATGAGCTTTCAGTGCTGAGAATAAGATATAAATGAACATGGCATAGTTACAGCTTCCCTCATTGTCCTTCTTTTAATACAGGTGCACGTGCACACAAACACACTTACATACACACTTATAAATAAACTGCAGAGGTTGGGCTTTAGAAGATGTCATTTACAAAACTACTGTAAGCCTAGAAGATAGATAGGTTACAATTACAAAATATTTAATCAGTTATAGTAGTCTTGTTACCAGAAACGATAATATTATGTCCCTGTGTTATTCACTTTGTTATTCACTTTCCATTTCTGCAGATCTGGTGTCTAGGAAATGAAACACGATTCCATATCAACAAAACTGTGGACGCAGCCATTCGGTCTGTAATAATCGGTGGATTGTTCCCAGGTATTCAATACCGGGTAGAGGTTGCAGCTAGTACCAGTGCAGGGGTTGGAGTAAAAAGTGAGCCGCAGCCAATAATCATCGGTGAGTATCAAACGATGTGGTCTGTGCTTTAGAATCAGTCAGCTGACAAGGTGGATGATGATTTTGCATCAACATACTAATAGTGAATATGCACTTAAGAATGTTAGGGTACATATATCGCGTTGACAAATGGGTTAACTGACTAGGGTTTCTTACAAAAATACTTGGTGCAGTTGATCATGCTCTTAAAAGTCCCAGAGCCTTTTTTAAATGCAATATTTAGGAGTTTAAATGCTGAAAGGTAGTTTAAAAATTATTTTTAATCAACTGCCTCATTAGCAATTTTGATGCCATTGAAATATAATAAAAATGAGATAGTTACTGAAGAGAGAGCATCATGTTTCAAATCTGTATGCTTCCTCTTAGCCAGAGAAATGTCAAAAATTAACAAGAAACAGTCCAGAAGAAAGTTTATAATCTAAATATACCATCCCAAAGAAGAAATCATATTAAATCGAATATCATCATTGCATGAAAATTTTCCCTATTATCATAGATTATGTTTGCCTGTTCTTGAGATGTATATAAATGGAATCATACAGAATGTGATTTTTTTTTAATCTGGTTTCTTTCACTAAGGATAATGTTTTTGAGATTCATCCACGTATGTATTATTCAGTTCACGTTTTATGGCTGAGCAGTATTCAATCGTATGAATATGCCATATTTTGTTTATCTGCTTTTCACCTGAGAGAATGAATATTATTGTATAAATGTTTGTGTCCTTTTGGAGAAATACCTAGGAGTCTAATTTCTGGGTAAAAGACTTGTCTTGTTTGACTTTATAAGAAACTGCTAAACAATATTCAAGTTGTGTAATTTCATACTCCTGCCAGCAAGGAAAATGACTTCCAGTCGCTCTACGTTGTCACCAACATTTGAGGTTTCCAGTTTTTGTGGTTTTAGCCATTCTAGTTGGGATAACCTGTGATTTTGGCTTGAATTTTCTTTTATGACTAATAATGTCGAGAAACTTTACATGTGCTTATTGGCCATCCACATAGTTTCTTCTGTGAATTGACCACATATTTGCTTTTTACAAATTGGATGGTCTCTTGTTACTGATTAGTAAGAGTTATTTACACATTCTGGATACAAGTTCTTTTCCATGTATTTGTGTTACAAATATTTTTTCCCAGTCCATGACTTCCCTATTCATTTTCTTAATAATGTCATTTGATGAACAAAAGTATTACATTTTAATGAAGTACAATTTATCATTTTTTCTTTGATATTTGGTGCTTCCTAAGAAATTGTGGCTTACCTCTAGATACTGAGGATATTTTCCTCTAGAAGCTTTATAATTATAGCTTTTATGCGGAAGTCTATAATTCATCTGAGGGTAACTGCAATGTGGTTAAAGGAATGAGGCTTATTTATTTCCATGTTGTGTACTCATCATTTATTAAAAAGACTTTCCTTTCCACCAGTTAATCATATATACATGGATGCATTCCTGAATTCCCTATGGGATTCAGTTTGATTATATGTCTATCCATATGCCAAACCACACTGCCTTGGTTACTGTCGTTCATAGTAAGCCTTGAAATCAGGTAATGTGAATACTCCATCATTTTCTTCTGCAAAATTATTTTGTTTATTATAGGTCTTCTGCTTTTCCATATACTTTTCAAATCAGCTTGTTGAAATCTCTAAAACTTGTGTTGGAATGGTGAGTGTAAGTGCAGTGAATAAATCCATCAAAATGCATAGAGTAAATATTTTAGTAATGACTCTCTTTCTGGGAATGTGATATATGTTTCCATTATTTAAGTGTTCTTTACTTTGGTCCAGTATTTTACACTTTTTAGTGTGTCAACACATTTCTTGAGCATTTGATTTTTTGTGTGTGTTTTTTGTTTTGTTGTTATTTTTGAGAAAATGTTTCTCTCTCTCATCTAGGCTGGAGTGCTTGAGTGCAGTGGCGCGATCTTGGCTCACTGCAGCCTCCATCTCCCAGGTTCAAGTCCTCCTCCCACCTCAACCTCCTGAGCAGCTGGGGCTACAGGCATGCACCACCGCTTCGGGCTGATTTTTGTATTTTTAGTAGGGACAGGGTTTTGCTATTGTGGACAGGCTGGTCTTAAACTCCTGACCTCAAGCAATCTGCCTGCCTTGGCCTCCCAAAGTGCTGGGATTACAGGCATGAGGTCCTGCCACTTCACCTGGCCTATTTGATGTTTTTTACACTATCATAAATGGATTTTTAAAATTTATTTTTCCAGTTGTTTTGTATTACACATAAATTTAATTTCTATATGGCCTTTGTGCTTTGTGACCTTACTACCTCACTTACTCATTTTAGTAGTTGTGAAATGTTTTTAAGTGTTTTCGGATAATCATGTTTTCTCTCTCTTCTTGTTTGTGTTAATGTGATGAATTCTATTGAATGACCCTTAAAGGTAAATCAACCTTGTGATCTTGGGATAAATCACAACTGGTCATGATATATTATCCATTTCATAGATGTGCTGAGTTTACTAATATTTGGTGGCTCACGCCTGTAATCCTAGCCCTTTGAAGGGCCGAGGCTGGCTGATTACTTGAGCTCAGGAGTTGGAGACCAGCTGGGCAACATGGTGAAACCCCATCTCTACTAAATACAAAAGAAATTAGCCGGGTGTGGCCGTGGGCGCCTCTAGTCCCAGCTACTTGGGAGGCTGAGGCAGGAAAAGTGCTTGAACTCGAGAGGCAGAGGTTGCAGTGAGCGCACTCCAGCACTCCAGCGTGGGTGACTGAGGGAGACTCCGTCTCTAGAAAAAAAAAAAACATTCAGCTTCCATGAGTGCTTCAGTCTTTTCAACTCAGGGATGTGATTCAGCAATGTTCAGGTTACCCTAGGCTGCATCATAAAGTTATCTGGAGGTACAAAGCTGTGAAAATATTAAGGTTGTCCCTGTTTCTTTCCTTTCTGTCTGAGACCACAGTCCTATCCTTTTCTGTCACGTATTTTGCCTCATCTCCTACTTGTTTGTGATGGGAGTGCATATCCCAATACCTGTTACTTCTTCATGGAAGAAATGGAAGTGTCCGAGGAACTGGTCATTTCATATGTTACACTTTCCTGTTCTATAATTTGTATTTGCTTCCTTTTACACTTTTCATTTCCCTCTGATATTTTCCATGTAATCATTTGTTATGACCATATTAAGTCCATACACCTATTGTAATAGCTGCTTAAAGTTCTTTTCTCCTTATTTCAACATCCATCTTATCTCATAGTCTACTTCTATTGATTATCTTTTCAGCTGACCTTGGGTTATATTTTTCTGGTTTGTTGTTTATTTACTTTCACATGCCTGGTAATTTTTTACTATATTGAACATTGCAGCTGAAATAAAATTTTGTGATCTTACGAACAGTGTTTGTGTTCTAGCAGGCACATATGTTACTGTCTGGTCACCTTTAACCAGTGATGTCTTAGTTTTTACACTGGTTAGTATGAGACTTCTTAGGTTTTGCCCTTATTCTCAAGGCAATACCTCAGTAAAATATTTACTTTCAAGGCATGACCCTCTCCTGGGCTTCCGGTGAGAAGCCTTATATTTTTATCTGGTCTTCCTAACGTGGTGAAATTCAAAATTAAGCATGATTTTGCAGTGAACATGAGCTAAAACCTCTGCTTTCGCCAGATCCTTACAATCTTCTCTTTGCATGCACTGTTCAGGGTTCACCCTTGGATGTAAGGGAAGAGTATACACATATGTGGGAGCCTCACTCTCCACTGTCTCCCTCTTTCACATGGTTCTCCCCTCAATTTTTAGTCACTCCGGCCTCCCTGAACTGCACCCAGAGACACCTCATATCAATAAGATTGAGTTGATTCAGCTGAGGTACTGGCTGCCTTACACTGTATGGATTGTGGCGCTCTCTCAGGGAAACAGAGCCTTGTCACTACAGATTTCCTCTAGTAAAGTGCCCTTCATTCAATAAATGCACCCCCTTCAGTTTTCCCTGCTTTTATTTGTTTGGCAGCGCCTTTAATAAAAAATATATATATATTCCATGTGAGGTCTCGCCAGTTCATGAGTCCAGAGGCCAGAAAGTTCTAAAGTTCTGAGTCCCCAACCAGGGTCGCTTAGCACCTTGCCACAGAGGCTGCTGGCGAGTGCAGAGGCTGCTCCTGCGTGTGGTTTAGGTAAACTGGGAACGAGACACTGACATGCTGCCCCCCAGGGGTCTGCATGTTCCGCTTCACATGCCGTTGACTCTGGAGTGTAGAGGCTGCTCCTGTGTGTGGATTAGGTAAACTGGAAACGAGACACTGGCATGCTGCCCCCCACAGGTCTGCATGCTCCACTTCACATGCCGTTCACTCTCAGAGTCTAAGACTTCCGGGCGAGGACCTTTGTCCGGCCTGCCTGGTAGAGTGAGGCTGCCTCTCCCACCAGGCCTTGGGATCCCATTTAGAAACGGTGTTCACTTCAGAAGTACTTTTTAACTGCTTAACTTTTGACTATTTTAAAGAGTTTGCTGAAAACTCCTGATAACACTTGCTACTACATACCATGTTTTAATTGCTTGTACAGTTAACCTTTAATTTTATTTAGTAAAATGTATCAAAATAGGACTTTTTTGAATTGTAAATATGTGGTTTTGTTAAATAAAAGTCAATGTAAAATTGTTAAAAAAAATTCCTATAGTTTACATATTTTTAAAGTGTTTGTCCAGTGTTTGATATCAGCCATTCCCATTTTTTTCTATTTTCTAAAATGATGCGTATAAAGCAGACTGCCAGCTTCTAGATGATTCTTTCTATTACAAATATGTATTGTATATGGACAGATTTAACATTCAGTCATAGTGTTAACATTTTTTAGATTCTCTAGGTATTCTTTCTTTTATATATTAAAAGTATTGTAGAGAAAATTTTAAAGTATTAACTTTTCTTTAAATTGGCTTCTTTCTTAATTAGTCATTCAGACTGAATTAATTCCTTAACCTGAGGGAAACCTACAATCTTGTCCTTCTGAGATTTTCTAAAATAAATTGGAATAAGA